ACACGATAAACCACACGATAAACCACACGATAAACCACACGATAAACAACACGATAAACAACACGATAAACAACACGATAAACATCACCATAAACATCACACGATAAACATCACACGATAAACCACACGATAAACCACACGATAAACATCACCATAAACATCACCATAAACATCACACGACAAACTTCACACGATAAACATCACAACAAACAACACAATAAACCACACAATAAACATCACAATAAACCACACAACAAACATGGGTTCAGGGACTGACGTGACTGCGGTGCGTTCAGGGACTGACGTGACTGCGGTGCGTTCAGGGACTGACGTGACTGCGGCGTGTTCAGGGACTGAAGTGTAATGTTGTTTTCCAGAGAACTCTCTGATCGTCCAATCCCGGTTCATGTTACTGGAGTCTCTCCTCATCTTCTTCGTCCTATTGGCCGTCTTCTCCTACCTAAGGTTCCACAACGATTCTCACAGGTGAGACTCACCTTCAGCTGACTGACCTCTGACACTGACCTCAGTCATGTGACTCTGTGACCTTTGACCCTCAGCTGGTTCAGATACTGTTGGCTGCTGCTGTCTGGAGCCTCATGTGCTGCCGCTGTGGGGTGAGTCTGTGTGTGTGTGTGTGTGTGTGTGTTAATGCATGTATGTGTGTGTGTGTTAATGTGTGTATTGTGTGTATTTGTTAACAGGGTGAAGTATATGGGTGTGTTCTCCTACCTGATGCTGGTGGGCGTGGCCTCTCTACACACCTGGAACCTGATTGGAGACAGAACTGTCAGTCACGTGAGTCCAGATTCACACAGACAGAAGATCAGTTCATTGATCACTCAGTGTGTTGACTGGTTTCAGCTCATTAGTGATGTCACCGGGTGGTGACGCTCCAACATCTGAACATCAAACTTTATAATACAAGACAGTTAAAAGAGTGTGTGTGTGTGTGTGTGTGTGTGTGTGTGTGTGTGTGTGCAGCTGAGTGTGTGTGTGCAGTGTGTGTGTCGGGTTGTGTGTCTGTTGGTGGTTCCGGTTCTCCTCTATGTGTTCTGGTTCTACGTCCATCTGACTCTGCTGCATCGGAGCGGACCACATGACCAACTGATGAGCTCCTCCTTCCAGGCCAGTCTGGAGGTAACACACACACACACACGCACACATATACAGGTCAGGGGACACACACTTACCCGGTGGTAAGTCGGTCAGTAATCCGAGCAGCCTTAGGGAGCTAATGTCCCACAGAGATGTCAGAACAACACCTTCTGCCTTGTTTCTCACCCCGTAGCTGAGTCGTTAGGATGTAACCCTCACACCCAGTATGAGTAGTGATGTAGAACGTCTATTCTTTACTGTCGGCTATTTTAAGTTTCTCACCATTTTTGACTAACACTGCCGAGTTTTCACCAGGGAACTCGCCTGAAGCTCCTCTGGTAGAGTCAGAGTCACAGTGTTTTGTTTGAGTCCCAGACTCTTACAAAGGGTGAGGCTGTGGATTCATTAAAGTTACATCAAACTATTTCAACTCAATGAAAGTCTAAGTGGTGCAAAAGACGTCAGTCACTGTAAGCTGTCTTGTGATAGCAGACATGTCTCACAGGGTCTCCTACAGAAGACGAGTAGTCCAGTCTCTCAGGCTGGAGAGGGGGAGGTCCTCTGACAGCAGTGCGGTCTTCTACTCACCTGTAAGGCTGAGTGAGGACTGCAGAGTTCCCTCAGTTATGCTGCTGCTTCTATGCTTGTTAAAGCTGGTACCTCCCTCCATTTCATGGTCACTCTCACAAGAGTGCGCCTGTAAGTAGGTCAAAGGGTGGCATAGTTCTACAAGGATAGAGTGACTCACACAAGGTCTACTTAACGTTACATAAAGTATCTGTGCAGGTTATACCTTTAAATCACTTCTATCAGACAATAAAACATTTGATTTAGTGTAAATGTTGTCCTTTAAATCAAACAGGTTATACATACTATACTCTGATGCTCTTATACTTTCTCTACGATCTTCTAACAACACACATATACACATACATTTACCACACTAACCCTAACCCTAACCCTAAACAGAGAAACATAATAATACAAATATTCAAATGAATACATTCAATACAATAGTTCTTCACATCATATCAAGCAAAAAAAATTCACTTTAACCTATTATTTATTGCTTTAAATTAATATTTTACCTGGTCGCACCACCATGACATTTATCAGTTGTGCCACCTGACAATATTAGTAATCACAGCAAATATGCAGACAATTTGCATTTTTGTTTCAAATACAACAACATGCTTTTAGTCAACAGACTCTTTTTAAGTAAAAGAAGTAAATATTTCATAGTAATCATGTTTAGCACATAACTGGAACAGGCAAAATCACAGTCGCTTCCGCCTGCGTGTTGCAGCTTCTACCTCATTGTAGCAGCGTTTTGCACACACTCCATACAGGACTTGTTGTCTGCTCCCTGCGTCCTGCTGTTTTGCTTTACTTCACAGTGGCATCCTTAATAGTTAAACAATATTCATTAATATCATGAAAAATAGTTTGAAAGTGTATAATATCGTTAACTTAACACTGTGAAACTTTTGTAAAAAATTGTATATAATGTTAGAGCTTTAAATATAATATCATAGAGGGACATTCTCTGCAGTTGCACCACCTGCCTTACTGGTTGCACCACCTGACATTTGCAACTGATTTCAAATTAAACAGGCATCTACTAGGACACTAGCATTAGCTTTTGTTCTTGCTAACAACTTCACACATATACATTTTAAACAGAATAAAGACATTTATGATAAAATAACATTGTTATAGTTTTACATTGGTTGTACCGCCCTGACATGGAAAGTGAACCACTCTACCTATAAGTTGAAAGTAGCTGTTTTAATCAATATTCAAAAGAGATGTAAAAACATTTTCACTCTGCTATAAAGGTCAGTTGAGGTCCTCTTGATGATGCAATATCCTGTTTACTGTTTTCCACTTTAATTTCATAATAAAAGTCCCATCTTTACAGCTGTGCCACCCTGATATTTGAGAACGTTCAAATTGCTGGACAAAAGTTTTTAAATTATCGTAACAGCTTAAAACTATTGGTATTTGTAAAAATTTGGTTTATTTGAATCGTTTCAACAATAAAAGCATGCCATAGTATTTTATTTTGAATTTATTATCATTTAAATACATTTTTTTAACAGTTTTCTGAGACTGTTCATCTGCTAGGACAGGTGCACCGCCTGATATGTTCAGGGTTTGAGATGCCAAAACATAAAATAATATATATTATTTGATTGTACTGAAAATGTATCAAAACTAGATAGGTTTTATAGAATGAAATTATATATGTCACGAATTGATACAATTATTTTAACAGGAAGTAGTGGACTCGGACACACAAATATGCATGTCATGTCATTGACCCATATACACACATAAATATATATATATATATATATATATATA